GCTGGAAATAACTCAGCCAAAAATACTATTCATGATTATTTTATTCATTATTATCAAAAGAATTAACGCTGGAGTTCAGTGACTCTTTCATAGCACAACTTGACACAATAGATCAATATAGCAGAACTATCCAATCCTTTATCAACCAACAACTGAGATGAGAGCAAGTCTTCAATTGCAGGCAACAACTGCTTAACATCAGCAACTAAAGAGAAAGAAAATATATAATAAATAAGAAGAGAAGCTAAGGGAACAGCATACAATTATGATGGCATTCATTCATCAGCTTAAACATGAGTGATTCCTGGAGTTCCTCCATTATGTCTCCACTAGTATTGAACTCAGACCAACTAATGGTAATATTTTAATAATAGAATAAAAGATTGATTGATTGCATGGAAGTTATGAGAGGGCTTGCTTTGTTTGTAGTAACACGTGACTCCAGATCAATACTTGTAACTGTCTTCTCTCTTCACTCTCTGATTCCTATATTCGATACATTATACATAAATCACAGGGGCGGATCTAGGGGGGGGGGGGTTTGTGGGGTTGCAACCCCCCAAAACATTCTAACTCAAAAAATTTTTAATGTTTTTATTGTTGCAACAGTGGTGAAAGTGCTAACCACCTAGTTTATATAGCAACATTACTATGGTTAATGAATATAATTAACAAAGAATGAGCTCCAAAAATGGTAGAAAAGTTGATTTTCCCGTGATTTTAACCACAAAATAGCGCCGAAAAGGGGCGTGGCCAAAATTTCGGCGCGCCATTTTTTCTCTCAACCCCTCCATTTGCAAAACCCTGGATCCGCCCCTGAAATCCATTCTACATTATGCATCAGAATGATACTAACAAAGTTACAAATGTAAAAACCTGCATCAAAGATATAGCAAGCAAGTGTTTGTATAAAAACTCATGCTATAAAGCTTACAGGATAAGCAAGTAGTAGATAATTAAGCGCAAACATTGTGTACATTAGCTGATTGTCCTCTCCCTCAAGAAACAACTATAAAACTCATTAATAATTATAATTAGATGGAAACATGGCAGACTTTAATGACATCTTCAGGAGGCAATGGAGGCAAATCATTAATATCCTTCACACCTATTTTCTACGTAATAAAAAGATCATTTAATATAAGTACATGAAAGTAACAAACTGACCTTTAGTGAATTTTCTGGTAGTTTCTCAGCATATTCAATCCTTTGCAACTCACAGTTGATCTCCTCCAACTCACCAACAGTCTTTGCTGATGAGTGGCCCCCAGCAGCAAGCAGTGCTAGCTTACTAAGACTCAGTGCAGTCTAATACCAGTAATTTAACAATACCCCATGTAGTAAACGACATACCTTCTTTCGTGATAAGAAAGTGTCCTCATTATCCGATACTCTTCTCAGTGACTCTGATGCCTATAAAACAATAATAAAATAAGGTGCATTGATTTTTGATTAGATGCATCAAAGTGGCTGATCATTTCCACTAACTTCATTATACTTGTCAGTGGCTATTAGGTGAAGCCACTGAAGCTCTGGATACTCATTAAGGAACTTGCTCAGTGACTCTGGGAACAAGTTAGTGAGCTCTATCAACTGCTTGATGTTCTCTACACGCCATAACAGCAATTATATTATTATACTATTATTATAATGTGGGCTTACTATTATCAATATAATAATGGAAGATAAACTCATCGAAACCTTTATCTTTAAAAACTTCCAGGTAATTCCTGAGCAGTTCTGTGTCCCCTTGTTCCTCAAATACTTGCAGTATTGTGGGAAAGTGCGACCACTCCTCTGCCAACTGTAGAGCCATGCCAACCCTACCTAGATTCACTGCAGTGCAGGATGATAACAAAATTAATGCAGTAACTGTAAATAGTTTATGCTTTGCTTAGCACTTACAAGCTAAAAGAATGAAGTGATCTTTGTCTTTACTCAATGAATTTTGAACCTCTAACACTCTATGCTCATTATCTTTATGGTCTCTAAACAATGATTCATAATGCAACAATGACTCCATTACTTTACTTGATAGAGTCATAGAGATCAGATGATCCGGTGAACAGAATTGATGCGAGATCAGAATAGACCGACCAGAATGATTCCTGATCAATATCACTGATTGGCTGATCATCACAAGTGGCCCATTGATCCAGCATTGAACTAAGCTAATAAATGTGTAACACACAAAAAAACAATCATCATGATTACAAATTATCATGCACTCACAAGCCTTCTCAATAGACCCAACATCTCTTCACAAGCTAAAGAGAAAGAGAGAGGGGAATAAAATCCCCAATGCAGATACAGTTATGTCTCACCAGTCCATGGTATAAATTCAGTATGATAGACCCTTCGAATTGGCCTACTGCTAGTATATAAATCAACATGGCTTATACGATACTGTATAGCACTACTTAACATGGACTGAAATAAAGTATTAAAACAAAAAAAAAATATTACAAGCACTATTACTGTTAACATTACTTTTATAGTGAATGCTATTCTAGTGACACCAACCATATCTCCATCAGCACTGAAAGACTCGCATGCTTGTATCAGTGGGGGAAATATCTCATCAATCAGTGAAACCTACATATGATGAGTTTCATCTTTAAAATCACATTAAAGACTAGAATTTCATTCTTTACTTGGCTATAGAATACATCTTGTGTGGTTAGTCCTGGACGTATTTGTGATAATGGGGAGCGCTTTTGAACAACAATCTTAGCAGCTTCTTCAACATCTCTAAAATTAAAAAAATAAATTAATTAATAATAGTACTGAGCTTTTAGTCAGTCCCTCACTTATTCTGGTTTTCCCTCAATGCAATACTGGCTGCAATCTTCTCTGAATTCTCACACAAAACATTACGAGTTAGCAACACCGACCCTCTGAGAGTGACACAAGTCAACTGCAAATAAAATAATAAATAACACGTTATGCATCAGGGCTTCCCACAAAATATTGGCTTATCAAGTTGCTCAAAAATTAGACTAAAGACCCTGTACTATAGTACAGGGTATTTTGACGAAAATCACAAGGAGAGAGTTCTCCATTTTTAAATTTTTTTCTGATGCATATACATGTCCTTATGTTGTGTAGCAAGTTTAAGCTGATTCCGATTACAATTAGATTTTTTTACAAATTTTTAAAGTTATTAAAAAATCGGGCCAAAATACCTGTACTATAGTACAGGGTCGTTGACCAAATTTCACCATAAATTACTAGGAGAGAATTTTCCATTTTTATAATTTTATCTGATATATATACATGTTCTTATGTTGTGTATTAAGTTTGAGCTGATTCCAATCAAATTTGGATTTTTTATAAATTTTTAAAGTTGCTCCAAATGCCATGTACTGTATTGTAGTGCTTGTCAGCTGATGAAGCTCATGCTGTTTAGCTCACTTAGCATGCTTTGTGGGAAACCCTGCATGAATACAATGGAATGGGGCAAAGAGAGGGTGTGTGTGTGTGCATGTGAAGGAGGTTACAAGATTAAGTAGCTCCATGTCAATAAGGAATTGAATAAGTTTGCGGTGAGCTTTCTGCTTATCTTGGAGCTGATTAAGTATTATTAGTGAATATGAACCAAGAGTATCTAAAAACACATCAATAAAAATAATAATAAAACCAAATCCTCAAACTGCTACAAGAACATACTACATACAATGTACTTCATGCATGTACATGTACATTGAAGTACAGTATGGAATTATTCCATACTTACCTGTCTTGTTCCATCTTGGATCAGAGGCTGGTACATCATTAAGAATCATCTCACTGAGTCTAATTGAGCATACATCACCAGGCGTATTAACACCACCTGCAAACGAACTAACTGGAAACAGCTGGGAGCATAAATCAACCGCTTCAGCCTACAATAAGAGGAGGGAGTGTGGAGGAGAGAGAGACAAAGAGAATATGAAAGAACTATGATCATAGATACTACTAGTCTGCTACCATGTTGTTTCCTAGATAAAGTAGAAAAGCTTGTTGGAACTGCTCTGTTTCTGTCTCCATTCCATCAGTAGGTACTCCTCCAGTACTGGCAGTTAGTAGCTGCTGTAGTGTCTGGCCACTTGTGACATATGTACTCCTAAT